TCAGAGAAACCCTGTCTCGAAAAACTGAAGGAATAAAAAAAAAAAAAAGATTGAAGTTCTACATTAGCTTAGATTGTAAAAGTTGATTCCTTGGGAAACCCAAGGCAAGGAAGGTTGCTTGTTAAACTGTTCTCTTAACCACAGGCTAAACAAAGAGTCTGAGAACACGTGGGATAGCATTCTTTTTTTTTTTTTTTTTTGGTTTTTCGAGACAGGGTTTCTCTGTGTAGCTTTGCGCCTCTCCTGGAACTCACTTGGTAGCCCAGACTGGCCTCGAACTCACAGAGATCCGCCTGGCTCTGCCTCCCGAGTGCTGGGATTAAAGGCGTGCGCCACCACCGCCCGGCGGGATAGCATTCTTAAGTGACTTGAAGGTGGCTGTGAGGTCCAGCAAAAGTTCCAATCTCTTAGAACGTCAGAGATATTTTCAGATTATTGCACTGCCACAAGAGCCGGGTATTTACTTTCCACCAGAAATACTTACACGATAAATATGTTAACAGTCCAACACTAAATGGATTTTAAAAGACATGAAGCATTAACACTAACCAAAATAAACCTGGTGTGATTATTCATAACAGACAAACTATGTTTCAAAATAAAAAATATCAACACACCTTTAATCCCAGCACTTGGGAGGTAGAGGCAAGTGGATCTCTGAGTTTGAGGCCAGCCTGATCTACAAAGTGAGTTTCAGGACAGCCAGGGATACACAGAAAAACCCTGTCTCAAAAAAACTAACAAAAACAAACAAACAAATCACAAGCACTTTTTTTTAAAAGATATGCTTTATTTTAATTATGTATATGTTTGTGAATATGAATGCTGGTGTCCATGGAGGTCAGAAGCATTAGGTCTCCCTGGAGCTAGAGAGTTATTTGGGTCCTCTGCAAGAGAAGCCTGTGTTTCTAACCTGAGATATCTCTGTAGCCTCAGCATACACTTTTGAGTCTAGATTTCTAAGTTTATCAAGAGGGAAGACCAATCTTAAGCATGCACCTGGTGACGAGACTTCAGGATACAGTAGACAAAAACTGAAATAAATCCATGATTCTCACGATGGTGGCACATGCCTTTAATCCTAACATTTAGGAGATAAAGTCAACTGTCTCTATGAGTTTGAGACCAACCTAGTCTACATAATATGTTCTGGACCAGCCAGGGCTATAGTGAGGTTCTGTGTCAAAAGAAAACATCCATTATTATAGAAATTTCAACCTACTACCTTTCAGCGACCAATAGAAGAGAGTGTGAAAACTGAATGACTGTATTTTGCTTAAACAATGCTATCAACCAACTTGACCTAATTGACGTTTGTAGAGTCCGCCACGACAAAGGAGAATACACTCTTTTCAAACGGACGTGGAACAGCCACCAACATAGGCTGTATTTTACTCAGTGAATTCAGAAACATTCAAGCCATACAATACTTGCCCTGAATAGATGCTATTAAACTAGAGACCAACAACCAAAGGCCCCTAAAATATTCCCAAATATTGGGAAACTAAGTAACCTAACTCTATTTTGTACTGTTAGCATGACTTTGAGGGGCAGAAGGTTTTTGTTCTTATCTAATTTGAAGCGCAGATGTCTACTGGTTAACTGACAGAAGGAGAACCAAGTCTGCTGGCACAGCGTATACACAGGAAACAATCTCTAGCACTAAGTTTAGAGTTAAGGTAAAGCATTTGTTTGGGGCGATGATCCCTACGTTGTCAGGGAATCTGGTGGGGTCCATTCCCCTCATCCCCAGTTTCTCTGTCACCTGACTTCTCACGGGCAGAGACTCTTGGAGATAACAAAGTCACAAACACTTTAATGGGTCTTTGTGGGACCAATTATTCTCCCTACCTCATCTGCCTCCTAAAATCCCATCATGAACACTTCCTAGTTGTGAGCTGCCCAGAGGGAAAGATGGCCCCAGGGAGTCTCTCGCCCACACAAGCCTGGTGGTGAGGGGTTCACAGAGAAGGGGGCTGCCTCACTCCTTATCCCGTGAGACCCCCAGATTTAGTCAATAGACACAAAGTCTGCCTTTGTCTTCATGGTCCTTTCACTGAAGGTCTGTGCTCAGAGTTCCAGAGCAAATCCAGTACCATCAAGTTGTGTGCTAGGAATCCGCTTACAGAACATCTCATCTGGTGTTGGATGACCACCGGGTAGCCCAGATGTCTGAGAACCTACTGGCATAGCTTCCGGAGGGAAGAGACCATTCAGGCCAACCATCCTACTGATATCCAGGACACAGAGAATTCCAGCAAGTTAGGAAAGGATTTGGGGCTCAAAAAGGTCTGTGTTCTCGTGTAGACACCCTATGGTCTCGAGATTCTTAAAGTTCAGAGACCACCTATTGTGAAATCACTGGAGTTGTTGGTTCATCTGTCTATCTATTGGATCAGATTTCCTGCAGTTGAAACCTGGGACCTGCACATATAGTAAGGTTCTCTATTGATCCCTGGGTAAGACACCTCACTGTTTAAAAATTGCCATTGCCTAAAGATCTTTAATATCTCTGGCTGTGTTGCTGCCCGGGGTCCTTCATATACTGCTTCACTGTTTTGTTACAGGCAGGAAATTGAGGAGTCAAGTATAAATAAGGTCCCTTCCAACTCCTTCACCTGCTAGGCATTCCACTCCTAATCTTTTATTTTTATTTTTTATTTCACGTGTACGGGTGTTTTGCCTGTGTGTATATCTATGCACCACTTTTGTGTCCAAGGAAGCCAGAAAAGGGCACTGGATCCACTGGAACTAGTTATAGATAGTTGTGGGCCACCACATACATTCTGGGAATGAAGCCTGGGTCCTCTGGAAGAGCAGCTAGTGTCCTTAACCACTGAGCAATCTTGCCAGCCCCTCTTCCTCCTTTTAAAATAATAAAACTCACTTCAAGTTTTCTTCCTCTAAGGTACAAACTGCCACCCACAGAACAGTGGTTATTTCAAAGCATACCAGATACCAATCTCTCTATAATCTGTTTTTTGACTAATTCTTTGTATTCTGCAGGATTTTTCATTTAGTGCAGATTGGAGAAGAGTGGTAAGCAATGAGTGAGGAGAGAGAGAGAGAGATAAGCTGTCCCACTTGGAGGGTCCTCTTCATCTGCCCAACCCAGGCACTGGGCACATTCCAAAGTTTGTTGTTGCTGTTTTCCTGGTTCTGTCTATTTTTCCAATCAGAGAAATACTGATAGGTTTGTTACCTAAACTAAAACAGGTTCCTGAGGAAAGAAGATTCCAAGTTGGATTTTGAGAAGTTCTACTCTACGCTTAAAGACCAGCTACTGACTTTCTTGAAGTTCTTGTAAGTTATTTCCTCCCCAGTCCTGTAATTCGCCTTTGAGTTAAGTTGACTTTTGAACCCAATGGGGTTGACGACGTGAACAGCTCAACTCTAGAACCCCACATCTGCAGTACTGGAGTTCATTGTAAAGTAGTTACTACTGGGATAAGGTAAGCGTCATGTTACATCCCAGCGACTTGAAATAAGTCAAGACACACTCTTCTCCATCTGCTCCAGAAGCTCTGTGTTCAAGTCTGCCCTCTGTTTTCAGTGCTTGCTCTACCAGAGCATGCTGTCTTTGGGCATTACCAAAAGTAGCTTCTATCATTATCATTATCATTATCATTATCATTATCATTATCATTATCTGCATGTGTGTGTTTCTACATGAGTGTATGCCACTTTTGTACATGGAAGTCAGAAGAGGGCATCAGATTCCCTGAAACTAGAGTTACAGGTGGTTGTGACCAATCTGAGGTGGGTGCTCAGAACCAAATCTGAATCCTCTGAAATTCAGCACCCTCAAACTTGGAGCCATCTCTCTAGCCCCCCCAAAATGCTTTTCTTACTATCACACACAGCCTTCCATTGACAGACATGGTCCCGTAGTTACTTACCCACAGCTAAGTTCAGTTTTTTATCTATCTAGAGTCTTCGGCCCTGGTACTGCCAAGATCCTGGAGAGTCTAGCAGTGGGATTAACCAACGTTTCTGTGTAATCAGTACAACTCTGGATGCTCCTGGATCCTCCCAACATCTTCCACAGATGCATTCCCTGCAGGACAGGGAGAGGAGCTCACATTTGCTGTTTTTGTCCTACCTAGTCATGCCTGCTGGCTTCAAAGCCTGAAAAATTGGGTCCTTGACAAAGCACTGGGTACTAAAACCATTCCAGGACCCAGAGGTAATTCTGGAATGTGACAGTGGAGGAGCCAATAGAGCAGGGAGAGGGTGATGTTTACAGGATCCACTCTCTAAATAGAAAAGACATTTTTACAGACTTCAGCCTTAGAGGGGGCCTGGTCCTTGTCTACCAATAGTCCCTGAATTCAGGGTGATTTTTGCTTACTGGAAGTGATGGGCACTTTCATAGGCATGAGTGGGAGTTTTCTCTTGTTGGATGATCCCTAGTCCACAAAATCAATTTGTTCATTATACCACCTCATTTTCCCATATCCTTAGTCTATCATCATCTTTAGCAACCATGGTAGCTAGAACCAGACTGTGCTGCATCCCTAGGGGTGGATGTCCAGCTGAGCTAGGGAACTACCTTTAGCTCCCCGGAAAGCCTGTTCAGTCGCTCTTACTAAGCATGTGTTCCTATCTAAACTATTGGGTGGTAGATTCCACGTTAAATTTTGTTATTGCTTTATCCGTTTATCCCATGTATTTATGCAATAGATCTGTTTTCCCTGTGAGAACAGTCATTGTAAGCATCCTTTGAATTTCCTCATTGTGCTGGTCTGTCTTCAAGTGATTTGTGTTTTGCTTTCTCAGTTTTCACAATATTTTAAGATAACTTCTGTTCTTACTCTACAGATGAGAAAACTGAAACTTGGAGACATTAAGTCTATCCCACAGGTAACATACATAAACAGCGATGAAGCCCCCATTCACTTGGTGCTTACAGAGAACATATTGCCTGTAGCCTATGAGCTCCCTGCCATCAGGCACTCTAGGCTTTGTTAGGAAGGATACACAGTTATGTGGATGGAAAACTAAATGTGGATTTGAAGAGTGAATGTCTCATTATTTAAATTTTTATGATCTCAAAAAGATTAATTTCATATAGTTGTTATATTTTCCATTGCTTTTCAAGTAATGCTTACTGATCAACCAGACAATCAAGTAGAGAAGGTCTTCTCCTATGGCAGTGCCGTCTATAAGGCCAGATCTCTTTGAAAGACCCTAATCTCCAGAAGGCTGTCCTTAAAATAGGAGCAAACTGTGAAAGCCTTGGGTTTCTGTCTGTCTACACCCCAGAGTACTGAACAAATATGGAAAGGACAAACCTGAGCCAAGAAATGGAGTTTGAACTCTTGGGCCTCACCAATGACCCCCAGCTTCAAAGACTACTCTTTGTAGTATTCCTGGCCATGTACTCCATCACTGTGCTAGGGAACCTAATCATGTTCTTTCTAATCCATGTGAGTGTCACTCTGCACACACCCATGTACTCCCTCCTCAAGAGCCTTTCATTCCTGGATTTCTGCTATTCTTCTACGGTGGTCCCCCAGACCCTGCTGAACTTCTTGGCTAAGAGAAAGGTGATCTCTTATCTTGGCTGCATGGCTCAGATGTTCTTTTATGCGGGCTTCGCCACCAGCGAGTGCTATCTCATTGCTGCCATGGCCTATGACCGCTATGTTGCTGTTTGTAATCCTCTGCTCTACCCAACCGTCATGTCTCCGAACGTCTGTGCCTCTCTGATCGTGGGCTCCTATAGTGCAGGGTTTCTCAATTCTCTTATCCACACAAGCTGTATCTTCAGTCTGAACTTCTGTGGTGCTCACGTGGTCACTCATTTTTTCTGTGATGGACCACCCATCCTGTCCCTGTCCTGTGTGGACACTTGGCTGTGTGAGGTCTTGCTCTTCATCTTTGCGGGTTTCAACCTTCTGAGCTGCACGCTCACCATCTTGATCTCCTACTTCTTAATCCTCATCGCCATCCTACAGATGAACTCAGCCCAAGGCAGGTTCAAGGCATTTTCCACCTGCACATCCCACCTCACTGCTGTGTGCTTCTTTTTTGGCACGACACTTTTTATGTACCTGCGCCCTAAGTCCAGCTACTCCTTGACCCAGGACCGCGTGGTTGCTGTCATCTACACAGTGGTGATCCCGATGTTGAATCCCTTAATCTACTCTTTGAGAAACAAGGATGTGAAGGAAGCTTTAAGGAAGGTTTGGGGCTGGAAATCAATGGAATGATCTTATTGACTCATGTGTCCTTAGAAAACCAAGAGAGCTTTACTTGATGTGGTGCCACCCCGAGCATGTTCCCAAGCACACCCTGTGAATCATGGGCATGAACTCTGGTCTGCAGGTGCTTCTGGAACTATCCACCAGAGCTGTTGGCTTCCTAGAGACTAAGAATCTAGAAAGAGCTTCTGCTCTTGCTTCATTGGACTCACTGGCTGAGGCTAACTATGGCTTTGTTCTAATACGTTATCCATAGTTTGAAATTTGTGAATACTTTATTTTCCTACTAGAAACAGACATTTTTGTTCTTCAGATTCCCACCTGGGCATAGTGACTCATACTTTTTATTCTAGCACTTGGGAAGGAATCATGTTCAAAGTCAGTCTCAGCTACTCAGTGAGACCCTGACGCAACTGGAGAGCATCAGATCAAGCAAAATAAGTCAGATGATGAGAAACAAATATTACATGCTTCCTTTCATTCATGGATCCCAGATTGTATGTAGATATATCAAATCACACACACACACACACACACACACACACACACACACACACACACGCACGAGCACACACACACTCGACGGGGACATGAACGGAGGGGAAACAGGGGTAAAGGAGGTGGAGAATGAACATGGTCAAAGCACATGACACTTGTGTCAAAACTATATACATCACTAGCCACAATGAATACAAGCCAATAAAATCTATATCAAGTAAAACCGCACACACAAATTTATTATTCTCTTAACTAATTTGAAAACCTTGGGGTTTTCTGAGGGGAATTCTTCTGGTTCTTTACAATTTCCTCCTCATAAAAGTCGGCTCTTTTACTAGGCTGTGGTGGTACACCTTTAATCCCAGCACTCGGGAGGCAGAGGCAGGCAGATCTCTGTGAGTTTGACACCCTGGTCTACAGAGAGAGTTCCAGGAAAGGCTCCAAAGCTACACAGAGAAACCCTGTCTCGAAAACCAAAAAAAAAAAACAAGTTGGCTCTTTTGTCAGGCAGTGGTGGCGCATGCCTTTGATTCCACTACTGGGGAAGCAGAGGCAGGCGGATCTCCAAATTCGAGGCCAGTCTGATCTCTAGAGCGAGTTCCAGGACTGAAAGGAAAAGAATTGGCTCAAGACCCCCAAGACCAAGTTCTCAGCACAAAGGGGATTTATGTGCCCAAGAGGGACAAAGGGAAGAATAAGGGACAAAAACAGGAGACAGAGGATGAGGGAGAAGGGGACAAGGGAGAGGGAGCAGGGGTATTTGTCCCAGAGAACAAAGGACTGCCTCTGGAGGGAGAGGAGACAGACATGACACATAGGAAAATGGCAACTTATAAAGGTAAAATGGGAAACCCCATGTTAGGATGAGGTGTTTAATTTTATTTGGGCATGTTAACGAGGTGAACCAAAGGGGGCTTCTGATTGCTGGCCCTGAGGCTGAAGAAGTGGCCAAATAAGGGAATAGACCTTGGTGGCTAGCTTCAGTAATGTAATCTAACAGTTTTTAGAAGGCAGAGGGATGGGGGAGAAGGGCAAGGCCTGCCAGAGCTACATACTTAAGTGGGCTAGTGTCCCTTCAAGGAAGACCATGGTGACACAGAGAAATCCTGTCTTGAAAAACAAAATAAACAAAACATCAACAACAAAAATCTTCATGCCGGGCAGTAGTGATGCACCCCTTTAATCCCAGCACTTGGAAGATAGAGGCAGGCGAATCTCCGAGTTTGAGGCCAGCTGAGTCTACAGAGTGAGTTCCAGGATAGTCAGGGCTACACAGAGAAGCCCTGTCTTGAAAAAAACAAAACAAAACAAAACAAACAAACACAACCCCCAAACAAAACAACAAAACAAACAAACATCAAAACAAACAAACAAACAAAACCCCAAAAGTTGGCTCTTTGACTTAAACACTTTTAAAAAATGACTTACTTAAGGCCACGTGGTGGTGGCCCATGCCTTTAATCCCAGCACTTGGGAGGCAGAGCCAGGAGGATCTCTATGAGTTTGGGGCCAGCCTGGTCTACAGAGCGAGATCCAGGACAGGCACCAAAACTACAGAGAAACCCTGTTTATAAAAACCATTAAAAAAAACCCAACACCAACCAACCAACCGAACAAACAAACAAAAATGACTTACTTGACTGGAACCACGGTTTTAGAAGTTCTTGAGTGGCCATGTCCTCAGCCTTCCTGTCCTCTCCTTGTTTGGACACTGCTCCCATCAGCCTCAGGCTATCTTCTTGAGATATTGGGCATTGTGCTTGAATTAGGCTTCAGAGTTCTAATGAGGAAATATTTGAAAATGATCAGGGACTCGTCAAACAATCTGTGACCATCAAGACCACGTTGGAAGATTTGGGAATGGATGTTTAAGGACATGGCTACCAGCTAACGTTAACCAAATGTCAGCGCAGCGATATTTTAAAAGGTAATTCCATGGGTGTGGTGGGATACACTAAAGTTTTCAGAATTGGGAGGTAGAGGAAAAAGCTACCTCACCTACATAACCAGTTCAAGGCCAGCCTGGGCTTTCCTCAAAACAGAACAGAACAGACCATTCCATGGTGCAACTGCCACAAAGATGGCTGGGATGATGGTGAGAAGAAAGGAATATTCAACCCCATGTGAAGCCAGGAATTCCTAAATATTGAGCAAGGACAACTTCTTAAAGTTTCTCTGGCTGCAAACTATTTACACATCTAGGATTTGCTGATGTGGCGTGCAGGACGGACACTGCCACTAAGATGAGGGGGAAGCCCTGGAAATAGAATGGCCTTACTGAAGAGGAGGAAGCCAGGCGCACAGAGAGCCATGCTGTGCTGGGATTGTTCAAAACACCAGCTGCACTGCTGTTTTATAACTGTTGCTGTCAGGCACAACAGGCTGGTGCAGCCCCAGTCAGTTGCCAGCATGACACGTCTCTATGCCAGGGCCAGGGCAGAGTCCACGCTGCTGCTCAACTGCTTCTCAAAGGAGCGACAGTTCCTTTTGCTTTTCAACAAAACTGAGCTATGCATCCTCATTGTTGTAAAATTGTGTGTGTGTGTGTGTGTGTGTGTGTGTTAGATTTCTTTTATGTGTATATATGCCTGACGCCTGAAGAGGTCAGAAAAGGACATCAGATCCCTTGGAACTGGAGTTGCAGATGGTTGTGAGCTGCCGTGTGGATGCTGGGAACTGAACCTGGGTCCTCTGTGACAGGAAGTGGTCTCAACTGCTGAGCTACCTCTCCAGCTCCCATTGTTCTGTTTTTTGAGACAAGGTCTCACTGTGTATCCTCAGCTCACCTCAAAACCACCATCCTCCTGCTTCAGCCTCCCGAGTGCTAGGATCACACATCTACCAGGACTGGCTTTCAGAGCTGGACACCCTTACTTAGTTGAATCTGAGGCCTTTTGAAAAAAAAATTTAACCTTTTTGGATTTAAATGTTATCTATAGATTCAGTTATTACACAGTGTGTAGTTTGGGTTGAAGAAATATAAATAGAACATTTGTTAGCTTCTCAATTTAAAAAGTAACTTCCAAAAAAGTCACTTGGCTATGACGTAGGGTTAGAGGTATTGAAATTTCCCAAGACCCACTTCTTAGAGAGGGCGATTATGCTGATGTACAAAGACAGTCTATATATGATGACCACACCTTGGCTCTATGCCATGCAGCAGCTTTGAATGCTTAGAACAGAGTTGAAGAAGTCAGAAAGAGAATGGAGTCATTTACTAAAGTTATACAGGGCCCAAAGGAAACCTTCACTGATTTCTTACAAAGATTGATTTCAGCTATAAATAGAATGATACCAAATCCAGAAGCTAGACAAATAATAATTGAATCTTTGGCTTTTGAAAATGCTAATTCACAATGCAAAAGGGTAAATAGGCCTTTAAAGGCAAGGTCAGCACCCACAGAGGAATGGATCTGAGATAAAGTCAACATTGAATCTCACAATCATGGTGATGCTTGGATAGGAGAGGTGATTTCCAAAGGTTTGAAGAAAAATCAAAATGTCAGATGTTTTAATTACAGTAAATAAGGTCACCTAAAAAGGGATTGTAGGCAGGGCATTCCAAGGAACAATGCTTTTTCTAGGAATAACCTAAACAGAAGGCCCTTGTCTTCTGGAGTATGCAGAAGATCAGGCAAAGGCCAACATTGGACCAATGAATGTAGATCAACAAGGGACAGACAAGGTAGCCCTTTGCCATCGGGAAATGACTTGGGGGGCCTCTTGCAGCATCTCCCCACATTCCCAAGAGGTGGAATGGGCGGCTTTTGGTTGTTCAGTGGGTTGTAGAGATTCGTCATTGTTTAGGGTGGTTAGTTACAAGTTGTTATTGGTAATGGTAAGGAAAAAAGCTGAACAAAGGAGATTAGATTCAGGGATCTTGTTCTGAAAAGAAAAAGGGGGGAATATAGAAATGACAGGATAAAAAGGGAGATTATTGAATCTACTTTTAAACCAAAAAAGGAACTACCAGTCTTAAATATTTTACATTGGTATGAATTTTTGTATATTGATACAAATGTAAGGTTATTTTGGTTAGAAAATACTGTACATATGTTTCTACTCTTGTTTGAGGTATTGTACCTATACATCTCATTTAACAATCTAGTGTAAATTTCTAGTTCTTAAAAGTTATTATTACAAACTATTTAGGATAATATAGAAATGCAGTTTAATAATTAGTCACCTATTACAATCAAACTTGTAGTCATATTAGGTATGTTTTCAAGGTCAAACAGAGATATATTTTAGATAGGTGGTCTTCAAACACTTCAGAGATCTACAAAATATGGTATTTAAAATGTTTCAATAACATAAGGTTCTTTTTTTTTTTTTTTTTTTTTTGGTTTTTCGAGACAGGGTTTCTCTGTGTAGCTTTGCGCCTTTCCTGGGACTCACTTGGTAGCCCAGGCTGGCCTTGAACTCACAGAGATCCGCCTGGCTCTGCCTCCCGAGTGCTGGGAGTAAAGGCGTGCGCCACCACCGCCCGGCCTTTTTTTTTTTTTTTTTTTAAATGACAATTAGACATGTCTGCTCCTGGCAGTACCCTTCTACTTCAGGGGAGATGATGGGTGTCAAAGAAACTCCATGGAGTTTACTTTCTTTGTGGCAAAAGTTAGCCACTGGGCAAGAAAATGCCCTTGCCTCAGCAGCTGATAGTATGCTGTCCAAATCGGACAAGCAGGACACAAAAGAAAGTGACTGCTGAACTTTGCA